ACTGTACAGCCGCCCTCTGAAGGATTTCTCATTTTTCCTATTTTGTAAATCTTGTTGTTGATTAATTATTACGCGCTGGCTTAGAGTGGCTTATGAAAACCACTTCAATTAAAGATTTACCAAGAAAGCCGACTCAGTTCTTGGCTGGAAAGACGGGAGAATTAACACTCGCGTAGGCTTGCAGCAGGTAAACAGGAAGAAGATTAAGCTTCCTGGTGACTAGACGCATACATTTATGAAGCTAAATGCCAGCGCAGCATCAAGGCGGCTGCACACGTGGCTTCACGTTGTGGAGGTTTGTTTGGTTCTCTGGGCTTTTTTTTTATGAGTCTGAGCGCACCCAGGACTTAGTAGTTGTGCCGGGCTCCCACAGAGCACATAATTAATGGCAGGCTGTGGCTGTGGGGCCGCCAGGCGAGAAGAAACCTCGCAGTGGAATTGTGGGATAGCGGAGGAGAGTCTTGCTTTGTGGATCTCGGCGGGAACTCGCCAAGATCAAACATGTCGACAGCGCCACCCGCCCACCAGGCATTTTGTGTAGACAGACCTGAGGAGGAGATGCCTGAAAGCCAGACGTAGTTTTTGTACTTGTGTGTATGTGTGTGTGTGTGTGTGTGTGTGTGTTTTCAGGAGTGAACGACAGCAGCGCGGCGGATGCTGTCATGCCTTTTGTTTTTGTTTTTTTGTTTTTGTTTTTTGCCTTTGGAGGACAGACTTTGAAATGGATTAACGAAAACTGACTTGATGTGACTTCCAGGTTTGCTTTGACATGACTTTGCTTCTTTTGATGTGGCTTCAAACGACGCCCCCCCTCCGTCCTCCACACAACACACCACAACACACACACACTCCTCATCCATGTCCCTGCATCTGTCCTTGTGTTAGTGATACTGTACTGAGACTCCAGCCTGAAGGGTTGCCGATTATTTCTGACTGTCCACAGTCTACAGCTCTTCTTCTGTCCATATGATATATGATATGATATTTATTATCTTTCCTCCCTCTGGTTGGATCCACTGTCTCACCATGTCTCACTTTTTCTTTCTTTCTTTCTTTCTTTCTTTCTTTCTTTCTTTCTTTCTTTCTTTCTTTCTTTCTTTCTTTCTTTCTTTCTTTTTTCTTCTCTTTAGGTCGTAATTTGTCTTTCTTTCTTTTTCTTTTTTCTTTCCTTCTATTATATTATTTTCAGGTTGTTATCTATCTATCGATCTCTTTATTTCTTTAATTCTTCCTTCTGCTTAGGTTCTATTTTTTCCGTTCTTTGTAATTTCTTTGTAATTTTCTTCTCTTTACGTTGTTATCTATCTTTCTAGTTATCTTTTTTCTTTGCTTTATTTCTTGTTTGCATCTTTTCAATTAGTCTTTCTTTCATCTTTTGGTCTTTCTTTTTTCCTTTTCTTCGTTATTTATTTCACACTTTCTTCTCTTTAGTTTGTATTCTTTCTTTCTTACTTTTCCTTATGTTGCTATTTTTTTAAATTTTTATCTTACTTTCTTTTTTCCTACCTTTGTTGTTTCCTTCCTTCCTTTTTTCTAATTTTCTCCTGCTTCTTTATTTCTTTCTCGCTTCATTCTTAGGTTTTTTTTTTGCTTTATTTCTTGCCTTTTTTTTCTTTCTTTGTCTCCTCTTCTATTTGATGATTTTCTTCTCTCTTTCTTTCTGCCTTTTATTGCTACATTGTTTCTTCCTCATTCACCACTCACTGCTCCCATCAGGCAGGTTTGGGAACTAATCAACAGACTAGGTGTGTGTGTGTGTGTGTGTGTGTGTGTGATGTGTGTGTGTGTGTGTGTGTGTGTGTGTGTGTGTGTGTGTGTGTGTTGATGTTGATTTATGTTGTGTGTGTGTGTGTGGGCGTGTTTGTGTGTGTGTGTGTGTGTGCGTTCATCTGGGACAGGTCTGGGAGACGAGGAGGGAGGGGAAAAAAGCAGAGTGAGGATGATAAGGAAGCGAGCAAGAAGGGAGAGAGTTGGGATAAAGGTGTGTGATAGAATTGGAAGATCAAAGCCTTCTGTCACAGCGTGACTGAGCCCAGGGGCGTTATGGGTAAGACGGGGCGCATACACACCCGCACGGACACACACACACATTTATGCACGCTCGCGCAGACACAGACCTACTCACTCACGGCTGGTATTTGACTCTTAGTGTGATTGATACTGGGCTAGATTTGGAGAATCACTGTCATTCGTCTCTCCGCAGATCAAACAGCCACATAATCTCCCATAAAGGAAAGAGAGATGGAGGGAATAAAAAAAGGGACAGAGGAGGAGAGCATGAAGGAGGGCGAGGCGAGGCGAGGGAGGGGGAGCCGTCTCATCTGTGAAGTGTTTTTTTTTTGTTTTGTTTTCCATAAAAGAAGACTCACCACCTAAAAAACCCATCCATCATTCAGCTCCATTAAACTGCTTCTTGGATACATCAGAGAGATATCCAGGATCTAAAAAGACGAGTCTAAATGCAGGCATTAAACCCCATTTACACCTGCTAAAGACGAGCAATCTGTTTCTTAATACTGTGCGTGTGGATAAAGAAAGAAGAAAAAAATCGCAAAATGTAAATACTTACACAATGCACTGCAGTCAGAATGCATCAAGATAAGCCGGGCTGGGTCTTCAGTTGGTCTGGATCATACTGAGATCAAATCAGGTCTAAATGACAGCTGCAGTTTGATCAAGGAAAGAAATCCCTCCAGCAATTTCAAATGTCTTTTTCCTGCTATTCCAGCTGTCTCATGCAAGCCAGTCGACAACCTAAAGGCAGCCAAAAGCCAAAGAAGGATGTGCAGGACAGTTTACTTTGAACTGGGGCCAACCTTGTGTGCAGTAAGATCCAACGTTAATCCAAGCAGAATCAGTGCAATAAGAATGACTGTTAACAGAAAGGCCTAATGCGAAAGTATGTAATCAGATCACAACTTAAACCACTTCCTAACTGACAGGTCGGCGATCTGTCAGAGCTCTAGCATGTGATAAGCTTTTTAATGTATCTCTCAGTTGAGTGGTTAAAATATGTCTTTGTGGGAAAAACAGTTGAGAAATGATACCTCAAAAAAAGACTGTGCTAGAAAAACAGCAATGACTGGAAGTCCAGTTCAGTTCTATGACTACGTGGGTCCCGGGCAGGCTTCAGCTTTGGTTTTGTGGCAGGTGGCTCTTCCTTGACCCCTGCTGTGTCCAGCCTTTGGCTCTGACCCTGGAAATCAATTTTAGCCAGATGTTCAGCTGGTGTAAAGCTTATAAAGTTTGAGATGCCTTTGGTGTCTGTGGTGTGTGGCACACAACATGGTACTAGCCCAACCTATCACATATGGACAACTGTTCAGGAACCCTTGGCGTAACATTTATATGCACTGGGTAGTTTTGTAATTTTAACCCAAAGCTCTTTTTTTAATACCAACCAAGCTGTTTTTGGTGCCTACCCTTTAACACAGCAAGTAAAATCAAAAGTAAAAATAAGGTTAAAAAAAAGAATGTCCAGTCTGCCTGCAGTGGGCTCTTTTACCAGATGGAGGCAGTGTATAAGGTATTTGGTACAACCGGGCTGTGGGTCACTCTTCTAACTTCCAACATACAAAGTAAAACTGAGTGTTTAAAAAAACATAAAGAGTCCACAGCAGTCACTGTCACAGCTTTTTATGCTGAACTTCTCGATCTATGAAGACACATCACCACTTCCAAAACCTTGGAGGACCCTCTCATCGCCCCTTGTCCGAAAAGAAGCTTGTACACAAACAGACACATTTGTGGGATGATAACGTTCGGTTAACGAGGACTTGGTCTCTCCTTAAAAACAGTGCAAAAGACAATTTGGGATCTTTAATGCCATTAGTTTCTGATAGACACCACTGGGATGAGAATCCATTGAACAGTCAGGCCCAAGCCTGGTCTAGAGTCATATGTTGTACAGGAAATCATCCATGTCTGATGAGTTGAAAATCCTCCGGTTTTAAAGAGGGGTGGTGCTGTAGAGCGAGCAGGAGACAGGAAACATGATACCCTTTGACCAATTCTGCTCTAATGTCAGACTTCATACTTCAGATCTAGCAGAGTAATATCTCTTACCATCTGAACCATGAAGCAGGTTAGGAAGCCTGAAACATAATGTCCTCTCCAGCTGATCGTGCATCAACGTTATCATATACAGTACAACCCCGTGCAAGGATTGAGTTCATGTCTGTAAACCAAAGTGAGTCAGTGATTTGTGGAAATAAACTCTTTTTAGGTCTTTCTTCTGTGACAGTGACAGACAAATAACAATGCTGAAATATTCCAAATATTGAAAGGTTATGTTTATATGCTAATGTCTCTCAGTGTGCAGCGCACCAGCACCAGCATTTTTCATGCTGGCGGTCATCTGGCCGACTATTGTATGAAGCTTTTATCTCCACAATAATCAGTTGCAGTTGTTGAAGTGAGTGAGCGGACTTCTTGCAAGCAAACTGTTATCTTCCATGTGTTTATGTCCCTGGGTAGTTATTTCTAAGCGATTTAGAAATGTCAAGCAGAAAACCTCTTGCTCTTCTTCTTCCTCCTCTTCTTTTTGGGGCTTCTTCCTCTTTTATTTACTTCTCGGTTTTTGCTGATGTGCATCCTCCTTGTACTTTCCCATGCTCTGGCTCTTGCATGTGGTCTCATTTCTGTCCTTCCTCTTGCCCTCTTGACCCCTATATCTTCATCTCCTCCTCGTGTTTTCTGGCATTTGCTGGAGAAAACCGGTTTAGATGCTCTACCGCCGCCCTCCGGAGCTGAGCGGCGTACTGTGTCTCACACAGATTTCTATCTGCTGTGGGAAAACCAAAGCAATTGCCGCCATATTTCTTATCTGACAAAAGCATCTCTATAAAACATGTGTAATTAACAGAGTATGAAATCCTCTTGGGATTTCATTTGGATGTGAAGAGACAAAGTGAATTGCAGCATTCGTCATATTGTGTTTTGGGGCATGTGTACCGATATTTGATGAGGTGTTTTTTTGTCCTTGTTTTCTGTCTCTACAGATGCACCACCCTATTCAGATGAAACCTGCAGACAGTGAGAAATCTAATGGTGAGTGGCACTGCACACATGCACAGTGACAGACCCATCAATATCACATACACACATACACATGCATGCATGCATCAATAGCCTTTTTCGAATTTTGCTTGGTAATGGCTATCTCTGCTTGATTGGCAGACAGCACGGGGGACTCGGGGAAAAGATTGAAACATAGAGCAGAGGAGAGAAAGGGGGTGGGATGGGGCAATACTGATATATATAAATATATTTTTCTATGTGGGATGAATTATTAAGGTGGTTCATAAGGAGGTCAGTGAAAGTTGAATCGTTTTGGCCTCGTTGTGAACCGGCCTCTCTCCCCTGTGGCTGCTCACTCATACAAACATGTTGTATGCACTCTCCTCTTGCCACACACGCTCTCCCTAATGCATCTATTACACACACACGCGCGCGCGTGCATGCACACAAGCAGTGTCGCACACCCTCGTCCTCAGATCACCCCGTTCCCAAACTACATACCGCAGATCCAGCTCTGAATTGATTTCCTATACCGAGCCTCATCCTCCATTCCTTCTCATTCAAAGAGGAAGCTGTTGGACAGTGTGTAATACCAGTGGATGCATCTTTAAAGGGTAGGCCTGCTGTTATCTGTTAGCTCATTTATAAATACTTCATCACTTCTTCTGACGCATTTTGTTGAGCGAAGATGCAGACCTTGAAAAATCAACTCACAAATATGTTATAAGTTAGTTCCTTATTTATTTCCAGACAGTCACTTTACTTCTTACCATTACTCAAACTGTTGGACTCATGTTTAATTCCATTGCTTCAACTGGACGTGAGCTTTCAGTCATGGACAACGATATAACTGCCGTAAAAACAGAAACCTGAAGCTGATAAACACCTATGTCCCACTAAATCCAGGAGGAAATAATTTGGTTTCTTTGCCATAAAACGAACACGTTGATCAAGCAGAAGACATGCTGAAGGAAAACAGTCGAAAGTGTTTGCAAACACAATAGATAGCTAAAGTTATTAATATGAAGTTATGAATGACATTTAGCAACAAATGTGACTATTAGTTAGCAGTTAGCTGCTAGTGACAAGGCCTGATTAACAACTAAAGTTTGGATTAATAGTTAACAAACTGAACAGTAATAGATAAACTCAGGGAAATTGGTCACTAACTATCATAACATAATTACCTGTTCAATTAATTAGTAACAAAAAGTAAAAGCTCCATTGTTTTAATGTTAAGCTAAAGTTATGGGCAGCTAAAATGAATTAAAAAGTCCTGATCCTATTTAAAATGGGTTCAAATGAACTTATTAGGGCGTGATTGTGTAAGGCAGCTGAAAAAAGATGGAGACCGCTGACTTAGGTGCTAAAAACAATCATTGTTTCTCATTTTCCCTTGCAGAGTTTAGCTTTTATGTACTCCAGAGGTCATGTTATTAAATGGCAGGACTCTGGGAAGTTATTTCTAAATAGTCAATCTGACTTTTTTAATTCTTCTTACAGCCCATAGCGGATGTTTTCAGTACCAAATCTGAACTAAACTTGAATGTCAAGCAAAAAAATTTAATAACTCTTTTTTTTTTTTCTTGACATTTTTAAAGTAAATACACTGCTGTGACATTTTGTTCTTCACACTATGAGGTAATAACTCGGGCTTTCCTTACCTTCTCGGTAAATTTACACAAGAGCAGTTATTTTCACACGTTTTGCTGCTCGGACTCCAGCTGCATCAGAAATTAGCGCGACCCAATTTTCGCGGTTCAAAAAAAAGTAAAAACAAGAGTGCAGTTTTGAAAGAAAAAAAACATCTAAGCTTCCTCGGAGATTTGCAGTTTTGCTGGATGAATAACCAGAAGACCCCAATTTGGGGATTTTTTGGTGTGAAATGGTTCCCATTAGAATTATGTAGTGTGGCAGCACATTGGGTATGTGAAAAATCTGGCAAATGAAATTAAAATTATTTAGACAGTTAAGTGAGAAAATGTAGGTTTTTGCAGTTTGGATGAAGTGACCCTTAATGCTGAGTAATTGAGCGGAATTTTGGTTTGGATGAGCTGCCCATTTAAAGCCAGCAATGCTACATTTAATAGCATTTCTCGGACACATGCAGAACTCACATGTACGTTAAATGCAGCTCATTTGCCACAGCAGCATCACAGAGCTTTCCTTCTAGCCTGCCATGTATGTCACTGTCCACTGCAGGGGAGGAGAGCAAAATGACAGCATCTGGGAAGGCAGGGGGAGAAATGCTTATAAAAGCCATCATCCGCTCCACTGAAATATGGCCAAATATCACTTTATAAGAAATAACTGTCAGGGTAAGGATGGTGGAACTTAATAAAGAAGCCGCTGCTCACAGTGGGAATGGTGAAATATAGAGCAGACCATACGTTACACGTCCATCCATTTAACGGTAATGACCTTTAATAAACCCAGTGTTAGATCCGCTGTAACAGTGACGTATGGCTGCGCAGAGCTTTATTAGTTTAGTCAGTGGAGATGGAAGAAGAGAAAGAGACTGAGAGAGATAACAGTATTGGTTAATCTTGTGCATATGTGTGTGGGGTTTTTATTTAACACTTCCCTAAACCTTTGTGATTCTTTCTTCAGCATCTTTTAACTATTTTTGGAGCTCAGCGTGAGGCCAGTTCTGCTCCGATTTATCCCCGAATGCAAAACCGACTCCTGATACATCCCAGAGCCGGCTTTATGAGTCTTATCACCCGCCCGCCTGCCTGTGCGCCTCGTCCGAAAACAGAAACAGTCAATTGTAACGATATCTCCTCTCTTTCTTTCCTATCGACACAGAGTAAATTAATTACATTGCTGTTAGACTTGTGGTAATCTTTCTCTGGAGTGATGCGCGCGCACACACACACACACAAACTGTGTGTACAAAGGAGTTAAAGCTTTTTGAAGCAACACTTATCTTGGCAGCGTATCCCGATGGTTTGTTTTTTAAACACACAAACAATTCAAACAGCAAAATAAACAAGTGCGCTATTGATTTCCCAGAGTGCAACAGACCGCTTATCTCTTTCGCCTCGCGGTAAGAGCTGACAGTTTCCTCATTAAAAATGAATTGGATTAGCATTACATTGAATGCAGCGGGAACACATAAACACACACATGCGCGCATTGTTTCAGCGAATGAATGTGGGTTTCACTCTCAGCCTAATTCGAACTTAACGCCTCGCGCTGGAAAACACACGGGGGCAAGTTTCTCGCCTTCACCTGCAGCCGCCTGCGCCCGTTCCTCGAGATTGCACCGGAGGAAGGAGGGATTGTGTCAGCAGAGGAGATGGAGAGAAATTCACGAGGGAGGAGGAAGGAGGATAGAGGAGGAAGGAGAGGTGGAGGGAGGGAGGAAGGGGGTGAGAGAGGACAGGCTGAAGAGTCTCAGCAAGGAGCCGGTGTTGAAGTGATAATGAGACATTGATCAGAGCCTCACAGATGGCATGATGAAATACATGAACTCTGTCTGTCTTCATCGCTCTCCCACTGTCTTTTTTTCTTTCTTTGACTGTTTCTTTTGATTGCTACATTTTTTTTGTCTCAATCCATTTTTCCACATTTCGCTCTTTTTCATTTTTATCTATTTTTTTATTTTATTTTACTCTTTGTTCTTACCAATCTTTTTTTCCACACATCACTATTTCACAGCATACTCTCCTTGGTATATATATTTAAAAAATGGCTTTGAATGTGATTATCCGTAAACTACACAAAACAGAAACTACCCTCAAGCAAAGAAAATATTGGTCATCTGAAATTGGAACTGCTCTTAAATAAATCAGCAAAGTTTTATGTCCTAACAAAGTCAAGTTAGCCAATTTTTTTACACGATAAAGCGCTGATTGTTGGTTATGAGCTGCTGCGATGTTCACACTCCAGCTATCCATGATTACTTTATTTTGTGGTGTCACTAACTTTGGGGCAGAAATGTTCAGTAAATCGTTAACTTACACCATATCTGAGTTTGGGAGGGTTTAAAGTTGTGAGAACGCTTTCTGAAACACCCAATTCTTTACAGTTAATCCTTCTTTCATCCGGCAAAAGCACGGGATTAAACCAGAAACATAATAGGAGAGAAAAGTGGCAGTCCTAATATGACATCTATGAAAGAAATCTGTAACAGCGCATTTGTCAGCAAACTTTTTAAGCATTTTATTTTAGGAGATTGAAATTAAAGTTATTAGTGCACCCTGGTTTGAAACCGTTCTGTGTGGGTGTTCTCCCAGTGCTTGCATGAGTTCTCTCCCAGTTCTCCAGGTGCTCTGACGTTCTCCCACACTCCGACTACATGCATGTTAGGTTCAGTGGTTGCCCATAGGTGTGGCTGTGAGTGTTAACACACTCTTTCTCTGTGTTAGCCCTGCGATAGACCGACAACCTGCCCAGAGTGTACCCAACCTCTCACCCTGTGACAGCTGGGATAGGCTCTAGCCCCTCTGTGACTCTGAATTGGATAAGCAGTTAATAAATTAAAGTTAATTTCAATAATACTTCGAAATAACTACCTAGGGAAGCATTACCAGTATGGCTGCTGAGTACCCAGACTTGCTTCTCTAAGGACTTTGATTAGCCATGAAGCATTCCTGTGCTTAGGAAATAAGTTCCAGTGATGGCACAGCTAATGGGTAGTGATGTGCGGATCAATCCTGAAATATCAATTCCTTCGATACAATCATTTATGTTCTAGAATCGATTCTCACATTAAAATATCGATATTTTAGTAATTTAGGGTAAATTTGTAGTTTATCATTAACAGGAACACAGTGGAAAGAAACTATAACATTCGGATTGTCTACATTCAAAGGAACTACTTCCTCTTCCGCCTTTCATAGTCATGTGCGAAATACGGCTGTATAAATGTCTGCAGCCCCTTGGTGCGCGCACTCACAACAATGGCTGAGCGTAATTGTGCGGACGTATTTTACCTCCACAAACAGCTGAGACGTGGTTTGCGATACATGTGGCAAAAAAGTGAGGTGTTGTGGCCATACTTGCCAACCTTGAGACCTCCGAATTAGGGAGACATTCAAAAGGGCTGTTGGGGGGAGGGGGGTGATAAATACATTTTACAGTGATTTATCGGATAAAATACAGCAGGGGTGTCCAAATTCAGAGGCTTCCACCTGACAACCCGGCCTTCGCGGTCTAAAGAAAGCCGGGTAGTACAGCACGAGCTCCCTCGGTGGAGTGAAACAGCCGTCTGCTCCGTGCCATCTAAAATATAACCGGGCGCTGACTTAAACTCTCGACCGTCTCACACTTCTGTTTAATCATTTTCGGTTTGACGTTTATTCAGCTGTGTGAAAACCCCGGAGGAACCCTCCCGAGGGATTAATAAAGTAAAATTTAATTTAATCTAATCTAATACATTTAATCTCAGCCAAACCAATTTACTCACAAACAAATAAAACACTGAAAAAGCCAAACAACAACATTTTTAAGTTATCAAAGTGACTTATATATCATGTTTAACCCGAGTAGTGAAAGGCCGCGGGGGTTTGAAGACGATGTGTCGGCTCAGATATTTGAAGTTTACACAGCTACGTTCTCACCTGAAAACATGTTAAAAGTTTTTTTGCGACGCAGAAAGAGAAATAAGAGTAGGCTAATATTAAAACTAAGCAGCTGCCGTCATTGTTGGAAACTGGAATTGGCTGGGCCGCACTATGAATTCTGCGATATGGTTTTTTCAATTTTGTTGTCCGGGTGGAAAATCGGGAGAAATTCGGGAGAATGGTGGCTCCGGGAGATTTCTGGGAGGGGCAGTGAAATTCGGGATTCTCCCGGAAAAATCGGGAGGGTTGTGGCAACATCACTAACCTTGTCAAACACCTCAGAGTAAATCATATCACAGAATATGACGAGCGTATATTGAGACGAACTGAAGAGGAGGAGAGGGACAGGTGCTGCTAGGGCGAGACAGACGTCTCTCACGGAGTCCTTTAGTGCTGCAGGCAGGCAAGGTGTGTCAAAGTAAACACATCAGGTTTTTTATTTCTGTATGATGAACTCTGCATTATTAAGTGATAAGAACAAGTAATCTGATGTCCTGTAATCATTATGATGCTATAATTTGAGATACAATAAATAAAATGTTTTTGTATAAAGTATCGGATCAGTATCGTCGATACCACCCTGAATATTACTTGGATCGGATTGGAAAGGAAATCAGTGGTATCGCACATCACTAGTAATGAGTCAGTCAAACCGGAGGTTATAACCCAAGGGCTCGTTTTTAAGCCCCACCCACTATCCAGCATGTAATCCATGCAGTGTTGCCAACTTAGCGACTTTGTCGCTATATTTAGCGAGTTTTCAGACCCCCTTAGCAACTTTTTTTCTAAAAAGCGACTAGCGACAAATCTGGTGACTTATTCTGGTATTATTGGAGACTTATTTATGACGACGTTTTGACGTGAAAACGCGTATCGCTCTTACTCTCAACAAGCAGCGGTGCTGCCTTGGGCACCTCACCCATGCCAAAGCGCTCACAGGCGGAGGATAGTCCTCCCCCAGCTGCTATCAGGGCAAGAGACGTTCACACCTGTGCGTCCAAACGGCAAATGAATCGCGCATGAGCGAAGCCGCTGCTCCCGCACTGACTGTAACGCAGTCAGTTCTTCCTTTACTCTTATGCTGTTTTGTGGATCACAAGATTTAAAACTACTTATAAACACACACTCTCACACACAAAGTAACTCCACCAGAGTGCCAATTTCGGGTCACTTTTGCTGGTCCAGGCCTGGATAAAGAAGCAGGGTTGGAATTGTGACATTAAAAACAATAATTGCTAAAAGAAATTTAATTTGTAGTTCTAAATACATTCAAACTGCATTTAGGACGTTTTTTACTCACTTTATGTCTCTTCCACGATGTTATTTCTCTCTCCAACAGCATAGGTTACAATTACATTAGCATGGCCAATTATGCAAATTAGGCGATGACGTCATTTAGCGACTTCTAGCAACTTTTAGGACAGCCAATAGCGATTTTCCTTACTGAGGAGTTGGCAACACTGAATCCATATGGCGTATAGGGACTTTGAACCCCACTCTCCCCGGTGATAGTACTCTGATGAATCCACTTTTTTTGTCTAATGACCAAAACTAAAAGAAATTTGCCTACACCAGCTTTAAAGTACTTATTTGCTTTCACAACAAACACTGAAAACACTTAAATGCCTGGATAATAAATATAAAGCTAGTAGCAGCTCATTAGCTCAGCATCAAGAAAAACCCCTCAAACTATTCTGGATGCAACAGGCTTTATGACTAAGTGAGTTTTGTCTTATATAACATTTGGGTTAAGGCCATAATTTACAATAAAACCCAAAGTTCAACAGATTAAGCTTTCAAACTGTGTTTTTTTTTCCTTTATGCCATGTTTTTATCTGCTTTAGAAGCCCATTACAGTTATGTCAGAGTGGTTTTCTTAGAGGGCACCTGAGGTCTTTTCTGATTAAAAGAGTGAAATAGGTATTAAGGAAATGTTTAAAGTCATTTGAGAGGAACACAGCATTAACTCTGGCATGCACAGAGTGTTAATGTCATAAAATCTCTTCATTCATCTTGTTTCTCGGTTCTCCTTACAGCCGTGGAAGACAGGAAGTTGTTCATCGGCATGGTGTCGAAGAAGTGCAACGAGAACGACATCCGGGTCATGTTCTCTGCGTTTGGACAGATCGAGGAATGCCGAATCCTCCGAGGACCCGACGGGCTCAGCAGAGGTACCTGTCCCTCTGACTCACTTCGATCCAGACTTGATGTTCCTCATGTGAACATTAACACCTGCGTGGCCTCCAGCAGCTACAGTTCATTGCATTAACTTGTGTAATGACTCAAAAGTGTTTACCTCGAAATTTTGTGATAAGAGTTGACTGGTTGAAGACAGGTTCTGAAAAACTGACTTGAAAAAGTTCCCAACCGCTTTAATGTTTTGCAGTTTATTGTTATTTGCCTGCTTAAAAGCATTTGTGCTGCACAGGAAGCTGCTCATTTACACCTTCTCAGCCATTTTTCACTTCACTGTCTACCTCTGGAAGTATTTTCCGAGCTGTCAGTGTTGCAAGAAAAAGACTGCTTACTTAAAACTGCGGTAATTATTATATAAAAACTTTTTGGGGTCATAAATATTTCCCCTGCAAATCAGCAGTATAGAAAAATGAGCCTTTCATTGCGCATAATGTGCCCGTGCCTATTAAATTAGATTTCCCCATTTACCTGAAATAGTATTTTAATGTTGTGATCAAGCTGCACACCTGACAGAACCAACAATAAATGTTTGTGTGTGTAGGCTTGATTTTCTAATTGAAAGTCAGCCTTGAGCCATTCATTGTCTTCGGCAAGTGGAAGTGCGCTCTGTCCTTTTTTATTCTGAGTGGTTCAGAAGATGGTTATCGAATGGTTCGCCAAAATAAAATCAATTATTAGCCATCAAAGGTCTGCAGTGGAAGAGCTCTGTGCAGGTCATAAAGACGTCAAAGGCCATTTTAGAGCTCATATTATCAGGTTTTATTGGTTTGATAGATACTGCAGAAATTCTAGTGATAATAATAAGCAATAGAATGAGAGCAGAAATAATTAAAGCTGAAGCTGGAGCAGGGCTCTCAAAAGGCTCCGCTAGTTTATCCACTTAATGGATGTATAGGGGCATCAAGTTGTGGTTTAAAGGTTATTTTATTTTCTGCATATTACAAGATAAAATTATTCTAGATTAGCTGGTGTTGTATGTATTAGCTGTTGGACACAAGGCGGAGGATGAGAGAGGTGCAAACCATCGACTGTATATAAAGTATACAGACTAATTCTGAACTTCCTGTTCTTAAAGCGTCAGCATCAGCTACCATACTTTTGGTTTTTGGATCCAAAAGTGACCATACTTGGATGAAAGTGAGGAGCGTTACACCATCTGCCAGTGCAAACAAGCTTGGTTAGCTTTACCTGCATAGGCGCAAACACCTGCTAATAACTGCTAAGTATCAACTAAGAATTTTACTCATTAGAACAGAAGCACAAATTCCCAAATAAAAACTCATAGATATAGTCAGATAATCCCATTTCAAAGAGGTCCTAAAAGCACATGAAGCCCACTTTAATTATTCTTATTAATAGAGGTTAAGCCTCGAGACAGTTAGCAGAGACAACTAGCAGACAACAGCAGCTAGAGCCCTAATTTTAAGCTTTAACAAACAGGTGAGTTATAGAAAATCATAGCCACGGTACAGTTGTTTGTTGAAGAGAAAAAATATCTGAAGTCACCAAAAAGAGTTTCCGCTGAAAGGTTGCCGTAAAGTTGGGGATTTTACCATTGAAGTCTGTTGGGATTGAGAGTACTAAAAAAGGAACCACATTTATGTATAGATATCTGTTTATAGAAATTAAATGAGTGCAACAAGCCCAGTATACCTTATATGCCTAATACAGCACAGCCTTTGTATCAGATTCTGTTTTCAACCAACTGCTTCTTCCTAAATGTTTTCCTTCGAGGTCTTAAAAGAGTCATTTTAAGAAGTCAATGCAAATGAACTGGAGCAACATCTCGAGGCTGCTGTGGCCACCACTGTGAATACATGCTTCTCCTCTTTCGCTCTATATACCCCCCACCCCCATTCTTTCTTCTCCCCTTCTTGCTCTGTCAGCTTCATCCCCAAACATCCCCTCTCCCACTCCTCCTTCTCGCCTCCTAACCTCTGTTCATATCCTCCACCTTCCCTGCTGTTCCGGTTTACCCTGTCCATGAGCCAGTCCTAAGCTCTGTGCTTCCATTGCAGAGCAGTGGGAATTTTCAAATCCGCTGTCCAAATCGGGACGTGAGTTGCTGCTTTGTTGGCTTTGTAGTGTTGAAATAAAAGGATTGGTTATGTTTTGCGTAGCAAAACAAAATGTTAATTTTAAAGCACTTTCATAATTTTACTGCAACTGTATTTACTTTTTTTTGACTTGATAAGTCTATGAGACGAAGACCCCACTTTATTACATCAGTATACGAGTTTATGTTAGGTTATGTGATCGACAGGTTTCTCAGTCAAATCCACCTTGTGCTCGTTGCTAGTTTCAAAAGTCACTGCTCTGCTCAAGGCGTATGCAGCACACCATAGCTACATTGATCTTTTATCTTCAGTGAATGATCTTACAGTTATTTGATACCAGTCTCAGTTACTGTTGACATAAATCACTTGTTGAACCAAATTTGAGTCCAGTATCAAACTGATATTGAGGAAAGCCTGCCCTCAAATTTAGAATTTCAAGCAAATTATGGTTATTACTGGCAGTTCACATGAAACCCTTGTAATACCAGCCATTTCCCTTTCATTTTTTTTCAGTTGGTGAGGTGCTGATTTGGCCATTCGGGGACTTGGCGGGAGTCATAGAGCAGTAATGAAAAAGTAACACGGCCATAAAAGAAAAGAAAAACGTTTTTATGACTCTGAATGTGGCAACATCTCCAATTCAGTTGATTTGGAGAAAGGTATGAGCTGCCTCCACAGCAAAATAGCAAATTCCTGGCGAGTTTCCTTCGTAATTGGCACACTCTTGGTGCTCTTCTCAAAGTGCTCCAGGGCTGCTTTTAAAGAAAAGAAATGGACCTATTAACCAGGTGTCAAATCATTCAGATCAGTCAGCTGCTGGGTGTGACAGGTGTGTTCTGTAGGTCCGTGTTTCAAGACATATGAGCAGATATGATAATCATCTATCAATCTATTTTTAGCTGTGTTACCTATCTAAATAATCATCATCAACCATTTCTTCCCACAAGCACACACCTGCCTCCCCTCACGGCTCATTTCAAACATCCTCCCAGTATACCCTACCTCCCCCTTCCCTGCCCCTTTGTGGTTTCTATGTGCTGAGGAGATGGAGGGGCTTTTTGCGAATCTCTGTCCTTCTATTCTTCCTCCTTCTGTCACGGGAGCTGTCGCTGTCATCGTCACGCAGGTTCAGTGTGGTTATGTTGGTGATATATACTTTTCTGTGGCTGTTGAATGTTATGGATGTTTTATTGTTGACTCGAGTCTGATCTTCCTCCTTTTCTTCTGAAGGTTGTCTCCATCTTGAGTCTTTGCCTGAAACCACACTACTCAAACTCCCATGTTCCTCTGCTTCTGCGAACAACACGGCCCTCCCCGTCTCTATATTCACCCTGGCTGTCCTAGAATCCGTTCTTGCATCAATTTGTCCTCTTTTTCTCAGACATCCCACACCGGCCTCCTTCCCTCCCTTCCCTGTTTCCTTCTTCCATCCCTCTTCAGCTCCTCTCTTTTGTCCTCATGAATATTTTAGATGCAATGGCCAAATCCTTGCTTCTGTGGAACTAATATAAACCACTTAGTCGAAAAGGAAATACTGTTAGTCCAGCTTGGTCTTGGCTAGTAAACAAACACCCCTAACCAGGTTGGAAATAAATAGGCCTTTACGGATTTCTGTGTGCCTGCAACTCCCAGGGGCCCTCAGTCCCACGTAGCATCGCTGCTGAGGTCCTATTAAATCTCGATATCAATCAGAAGAGCGCTCCACCATCCCGCTATTAATAAAATATGGATCACACCACCAGTGGATGGCTGGGCCTGGGGAGCTACCCTACTTTCATTAAAGGACTGTTTGGTTCTCCACTGACGACAGAATGCGGCCCGTGAGGTATTTTTAGCGCTCGAGCCACGTCCCATCTCTGTGCTTCGAAAAATAAGACATGCACCAACCAGCCAGAAAGTATGGCTTCGACTCTAAGCGTTTCTTTTTTCATTAACAGCTTCGACATTAATGAATCAGTGTGCAGGCGCAGTGGAATTCCTTATTTAGAAGCTTTGGCTTCAAGCTGCAGAAACGGGCTAAAGATAGAAATGTTTCTTTGCGGATGAAAAGCATCCTGTCTGACAGTTGGAGACAAACTGATGAGTCTCCTTTCGGTGACAGCCGATGATGTTGTAGCTGACCGGTTTTATAAATAGAGTCAGGACCTATCAGGACCAGTCTGGAGGGCTAACCCAAATGGATGCCCCCTGCAGAACTGATCTAGTTCTGGGGCATTACTTCTCTGCAGAGGATGGAGGCAGCCTCCTGGAAAATAAGCAGTTAAATGGCAGATTGTGGCCCACCTAAAATAGACAGTCCCCTGAATAAATCGAAAAATGACCCCTTTTTGTATGTCCTATCTTCAGTGCTACCACTTAGCACAGCAGCCCTGGCACTGCAAAGGACGCATCAAATGTTTACTAGGTCAGAGCTTCAGTCTCTTTTTTATCACCTTCTTGCCTCTTTAATGTTAAGCAACCAAGGTAGTTTCACATAAAAGGTGATTGAACTCTATCTTCCAGTTGGCAGTGACAGAAAAGAAAAAGGAAAGGTCAATAGGTTTCATATAAGATCAGAGACAGGTCTGCATAACCAATAGGAACAATCATTTTGAAAATTGAACACAGAAGATGTTGATTTGAGTGCTCGGATGATAAAAACTGTTCAAGTGTATTTCTTTCAATTCTAAAGTTGTTCTCACTAAAGACCAAGGCTCATTCTTCTTGACAGCCATCACTTAAACTTCTCATTCTATTCAGAAAATGGTGTAGACTATAAAAACTGAATCTTCAATACTGTGGCCTCAGTTGATATGTTCAGTTAACACAGTCTGAACCTCTAACAGGAGACCCGGTAAACTTTTTGAGTGCTATAATTTCTGCTTTTATCATGTGTTAATATAATAGGTTTGGCAACCACGCCTTCAAAAATTATCCACATTACTTTTTTCAGAACTGATTTTCAAAATTACAACCTACAAAAAAGATTCAAAAAAAGAGTTAGGGCGCTAGGTAACATGGGAAATTTAAAAAATGCCAATTTATGCAAATTATTAAAAACAGAGCACATTCAGAGTTTGATGACAGAAAAAGATTTTCAAAAAGGCTGGGACCAAGGGTGTGCTGACCTCTTTCAGACACACCAGTTATGTTACTTTTTAAATGATTTCCTGTAATTGCCCAGGATATATAATTTCACCTACTCAGCAGTTTAGTTTGCCAGATAATGACATTGCCATATGGTGACAGTGGGAAGGAAAAACTCCTTTTTAACAGGAAGAAATATCCAGCAGGGTGAGGAGAGGGAGATGAGACGAGAGAGAGAGAGATTAATAATAACTAATGATTAACTGCAGAGAGTGAAAGGGTGAGGAAAGAAGAAACACATCATGGGAAGACCCCACAAGCCTAGACCAGTTGCAGCGTAACTGAGGGAGAGTTCAGGGTCACCTGATCCAGTTAAATATGGGTCAAATCAAAGCAGAGTTCCCCACTTTGCCTGATCTCCTGTTAAAATAAAATGAGGCCAAGAGACACACATCTGGAACTTGTTTAAATATGCTTTCATATTTTCATGATACAGTTTTAACTTTCTACAACAGAGATGTGTTTTTAATGACACCCGAGAGGCTGAAGATCAGGAATTCTGAATCTTTAAATATAGATTATATCTTTTAAAATGTATTATATACCATGGATTATTTTTAAAAAAATTAAAAAAAATATTACAACTGTTTTAGAACTGTTTGCCCACGTAGTCTTTGCCTCCCTATCTGTACCAGCCTGGTTCTTTTATAAATAACCATATTACTAATCAGCCGGATTTTGATTCTGTTGACACACGGTCAAAATGTTTTGCTGGCATCAAAATGAGCATATTAAAAATATTTATCTTCAAATTGGTTATATTCGACTTAATACGGGGTTTGACTCGCTTGCTCGGCGTGCCCCGTGTCTCAAATGTGTGCAGAGGTAGAACGGGGTGTCTAATAATTGTAAAGTTGGCGATTTGATTCAAAGCTGTAACCAAGCAGTTTGAGCACTACGTACAAAATAAAAGAGACAAACAGTGACTATGAGAAACAGTCACTGTTGTTTTAAAATCAGTTTGTGAAACAGCCCAACAATCAAAGAAACCAACCTGCCCTCTACCGAGCAAAGAAGCGTCCGGTTTTAAACAGCGAGGCTCATCAGAAACGTGTTACCCTCCAGAAAGGGCAGTCAGAGCCCCGAGATAAACTTGCAACTGTACAAGTGCAGGTCTACATTTTCTCAGGGAAACGCCTGTGTTTAAAATCCAGGCAGCCGTGGATGTAGTCAGGAGAAACAACTGACCATTCGTCTCTCTCATCCTCATTCTATCACAGCCACAGGCGGCTTGTGATAGAGGTGGAAGAGAACAATGATCATCTATTCCTCAACATATCTGTCCTTCCCCTCTCTCTCTGTCTTGTTGTCTGTTGCATTATCCTCACAATTCCCCCCCCCCCTTTCTCCACCCTTTCATCCCATCCACACAGCCAGGGAGAGTCTATCTGATGACCCATGCTATTAGTTTTTTCCTCTGTAGCCAAGCCACGAGTCAGCCAGCTGAACCTGAACGTGTGTGTGTGTGTGTCCAAGCATGTGTGTAATCAGTTCAGGCCTGGCTGCGCTAACATGGCTTGGTGAGTTTGTTAGCATATTATTAGCCTGGGGTGTTGTTGAAGCACTTCTCACATTATCTCCTCTAATCACTCCCTAACCAGTCAGACAAACACAACTTTGCACCCCCTCCTCCCACCCCTTACCCACAAACAACTGATAACAAACTCCCCTAAAATTGCCTCTGGCTGTGTCCAATCTTGATTGGCTAAAATCAGTGTCAGTCACGGAGGAGGTCGACCACACCTCCACTTCCTATTCGCCTTCCTCTCCCTGTGGATTGAATTAATATCATTTCCTATCCTCCCGTCTTCCCGAGCCCCCTGCTGATGCCCCCCCCCCCCTCACCTCGCCCTCCTCTATCACATCTCTTTCCTGTCTGACAAAGACAGAAAGAGAGGGCACCCAGTCAGACACACAAAACAACATGAACGGCCCAAATGGATTCAAATCGTTTTCATGCATATTCAGCCTGCTTTACACCGCTCAATTGCTGAGAGATGAGAGCAGTTGAATACAGGTATGACGAATTCGGCCAGTGTGTGTGTGTGTGTGTGGGAGCGAGAGGAAGGAGAAGGAGGAGGGCAAGGACGAGGGAAGGCATCAACAGCCAATCCGACGCTCCGATGGTTATTGTCCCAGGTGTGCTGTGGTGGATGGGGCGGGGGTCGGGGAGGGGTTGTGGTTGTCATTACACTGTGCTCGTTTTTCGCCTGTTGTTTCTACAGCGACTGAGAACACTGTTGTCTGCCTGTGAGCTGTTCTCTGTATCAATCTCTGTTTTGGGTTTTTATAACGACGACGTGTCCAACCCTTTTGTCTTGTTTTTGTTCTTTCTTGTCTTCCCTCCTCCTCCTGCCCTTCTGCCCTCCCTCCCACTCCCCTTCCATCCCTCCCTCCCTCCCTCTGCCCCCCCTCCCTCGTTACAGGATGTGCGTTTGTCACGTTTTCCACCAGAGCTATGGCACAGAATGCAATCAAAGCCATGCACCAGTCTCAGACTATGGAGGTATGGTACTCTTGCCCTTTCTTCAACTCTCTGTCTCTTTAGTGCCTTTAATACATGCACTTCACTCTGTTATTGTGCTGGCAATTATATGTCTGTCTCATCTTTGAGTCACTTCTTCAGTAAAAGCCGCGACTTGCTACTTAATAGGTTAGGCCGAGTAACATTTCCTGGAGCAGTTCTGACACAGGTCCAGTGAATTGAATGCCTCAATGTAAGGACTAAAGGAGCGCTGCTTTAATACGTAACCATTATGTAGGTCTTTTTCTGCCCGCTTAAGAGAAATGTGGTATCAATTTTTCCTCAGCACGAGGAGAATAAAATCTTTAAATCACAACAGTTAGCAAATGCTTAGCTTTTTGTGAAACGCGATTATAAGTTGGTAAGTGCTACTCAAGCATAGACTGTATATAAAAGGTGGCTGTAACCACTCTGACATCATCCACTAGTTAACAAAGAAAGATGTGAGCATGCAAAACCCTTCATCCACCTTTTATTTACAGTCTTTGAGTCCTTACAAAGATTTAATTAACATGCAGGAAGCTTTAATAAGACTGTAAAAGTGTTAACGGCCTTATTAGATTACTTTTAATAAAGTCGTTGGCAGTTTCTATGTGTAGAGATCATTTCAGACGACTGCGAACTCTTTATTATAATTATTGTTACAATTGTGTGCTAATCAAACAAAAAACAAAGCTTGTTAAGGGTTTAAAATAAACATTGTGAATAAGAATAGTAACAATAATACTTTTTTAACCCCCGTTTGTTAAGTTACAAGTTAGTGTATGAGTAATGTAAATACTCAAAGGTGTTAATTATGTTCTGAAGTAGTCTTTATCTTATTAACAGTCCATAAACATTATTTACATGTGTATACTTTTGTATTTCACATTAGTTTTATTATTATTTTTAACCATTATTATCCTTAAAATCCTTCATTGTTCACTCACACACGAGGCCAATTCCATCCCCTCAACCTACAGAGTATAACTGTTCACTTCTCATTTGATGATTTTTTTTACTTGATGATTTTTTTAAAGCATTAACTGTTTGGTACAAGTCTGCCTATGCTTTCAATCTTTATGATTATCCAACTAAATCCTTTTATTCGGTGTGTAAATTTAAATGAATTCAGCTTGTATCTTTAGGAAATGTGAGTTGTAACAAAGTCTCGGCTTTCCTGCGCTGCATGCGGGCGGTAAAAATAATGATTAATTTGACGAGAGTTTATTAAATGAGGTGATTTTCATTTATAAGATGTCTCTTTTCCATAAAAGAGTTATGGTGCTGCTGACTTCTGTAGCATCTGTGGAGCTGCCATTCAGAAAGAAAGGAGAGATTTATTACATAACTTGAGCCACTCAGGGGTTTTGGGTCTTTTGTTTATTTGTATAAAGCTTCAGGCTCAGATTATGCTTGGGTTTAGTTAATTTGCAAATCAGTGTGTATTGCAATAGCCGTCTTTTTTTGTGTGATTTTGAAAGAATACAATGAAATCTAGCCTTGAATCTCCAGTTCAGATGTCCAATTAGGAAGTACAAGCTGCACTGGGTGTTAAAGACAATACTGTGGCTTAAGGTTAGGACCTGTGCAGACCTCTAACGCCACATGCCAGGTGTGCAGAGGACCAGTGTGACACATTCACCTAAAAGCTAGAAGTCCATCCAGAGCTTTAGCAGAAGCTGGCACAGTCACGTCCTCGGCCTTGGGATAAAAATCACCATCGCCTGTTTAGTCTCCATTTTTCCAATCGCAGATTTTCCAACTAGGGCAAACTTTGGCAAAGTCTCCAAACTGTGACAAATAAGCAGCACCCTTGACACAACAACTGCAAATTGGCAGGTGCTGTTACAGACCTCATCAGTTGCACAGTGACCCCAGCGGTGCCATAATGGGGACCTAGTCGCAGCTCTTTTGTGTCCCCCCCCCCCCTGCCTCACCCGGGTTTTTGGGGCGCCCTTGTCAGCATTGTCAGGCCTTGTGACAGGGCAGGATGACAGGAGTGTGATTGGGAAGAGAATTACATGGTATAAGACGAGCACAGAGTGTGTGTACCCCTGCGAGTCAGAGAGAAAGAGACAAAAAAAAGCGGTAATAACAGGCTGTGTTAAGGGGAAAAAAGAACGAGTGGCATTCACCCCCGTAGCCCCCTCATTAGAGCTGATCATGATAATCATGGCTGCTATTGATGTGCTGTGACCCTGACGTGGGGAAAACGCATGCTCCTCCCTCTGTCTGTCTATCTGTGAGTATGTGTGTGGTTTTTCTGTTTATGTTGCCACACTGTGAATATCAGTGTCTGTGTTGATTTATGTGGCCGAACAGCAGCGGCGTCTGTCTTTCTGAGTCGAAGGAGCGACGCTCCTCTCCGTCGGCGTTAGCATTAGGCTAGAATTATCCTCGCTCCGAGCAAGTTGTCTGCCACAGTGGGGCCGGTAAACACTACCAGTGCCCCTTTGCTTTTATCATGCACACAGGAAAAGGGGGAAAAGGGAAGCTTTAAACCATAACACAACAATATTACAGTGGACAATGGCAAAATACCTTCATTTCCATTTGAAAACAAGCTGTCTAGCCCCAGGCGGACCTAAATTGCCGCATCCGTTTGTTAATGTTCCTCAGTTTTGCAATTTAAAAGTAATTACTTCGAGTCCGAATGAGGGAATGAGGTCTGGTAAATAGAGTTTGGTTATTGTCTTGGCTCTATTGCACCCCACTGTCTTAGATAGAGAAAGATTGTGTGCACGTGATGTGTGTGTTCGTGTGTCTGTGTGAGTGTATTCCCTGTCACGTACGCGCCACATGTCACGAGGAAGAAGTAAGGCAGACCGGGGGCCCATTCGTTGATGGCCCTGTCACTGTCATATCCATTCTCATTACGGCGTGACATTCAGGTACACGCCGGCACACATTTGTACACACACACACACACCCTTGCTCTCTGAATGTTAGGCCGTAATGAAAGTGGATATGAGCGGGACGGGTAATTCGCCGTCGAACCTCTAAAGACACACACGGAGAAAAGTGGGTCGCCTTCGTTGTGCTTTATTTGTGCTTTACATTATTCACTCCTTTTATAAAGACTCATTTAGCACTCAGGTTCCCCTCGTGCAGTTTTCCATCAACACTGATTTTTCTATTTCCTACCTTTTTTCTTTTTTCCTTTTCCTGCACGAAACTAGAGGGACACTTGTGTATTATCCTGCGCTTGCTGCATACGTGCACACACACCCCCTCCGACCCCCCGTCGGAAATGCAGAAGCGTTCAAGCGCATTTAGACGAGAGCTTAAGTAGAGCATGAGCGAAAACACAGCAGTGTCTGTTTAAACAGTGAACAAACACATCTGTCGACTGTAGTGAAGAGCAGAGACAGATACAGACTGACAGTGGGAGGAAAATAGGAGATTAGATTAATCAGGGGCTGATGTTGACACCGTATAAGGCTGGATGATCCCATGTTTTATTTTAACAGAAGGAGTCTGAGTTAGCCTAACTTATGAGTCTCGAGTATTTGTCACAAAATGCCAGATTCGTCTTTGTTTTCCAAATAGTCTCAATTTACTCTGAATTTAGTCACAGTTTACTATGTATATGCGTGTTCTAGAGTGTATATGCTCTGCCGGTGTTATAAGTACCATCTAAGTCTAATTTAAGCTGAATTGTTGATTCAGCTGTAGGATCAGTCTGGAGGCTTCAGTTTGTCGTGCTGTTCAGTCAAGCGTTGTTTTACACCGACAGGTGATGTGTGTGTCCACACTTGCTGACAGGAAACGCAATCCAGTCGCCCAGTTCTGATGTTATCAGCTCAATGAACGGCCAGTAGGTGCAATTCTTCGTCTAATAGCAACTCAGAAGATGGTTTTCAAACATTGTAGGCACTCCAGCTTGTGCAGGAGACCTCTAGTGGTAGTTTGAAGAAGTGCATGTAAGATTTCCAAAGGTAAATAAATGTCTTGGTGATCAAGGAAAAGGATACTCAAGAGCCCTTTTTGCATTATACGCACATTCATAGAGCACATTATTAAATGCAGTTTATCTTCCACACAGTAAATATGCATCGGGGGCAAATTGGGGTTCAGGGATCAAACTACCCAACTTCTCATCAGCAAACAACCGATTCTACCTCCTAACAAATAGCCATCCATATTTTTGGTGCCTGAAAACAAACCTGAAGACAACCACTAGGAAAGAAAAAGCAAGCCGGTTGATGTGTCAAGCTCACACTATGTTTTGTTGCGCTTAATCTGAAGGGTGGATCGAATGAGGCTACGTACAGCTACAAAAAGGAGGAGGAGCCTGGCAGCATGTGTGAGACTGGTAACGACTTGTAATGGCTTTTCAGTGAGCTGATAACATTCAAAACTAGAGGGAGAATTTTGCACTACTTTAAGGTTGAAAACGATTAAAAGGTTGGATTGATGTCTTCATCAATCCAACCTTCAAGATGTCTGTTTTCGACAGCTTTTATAAGCTTCTGGGAATCTCAAAATGGACACAAAGCAACGTCCTTTTCTGCATAATATGGATTCTTAATATATATATATTATTACAAAGGCAGGGAATTAATTCATTATAGATTTAATTCACTGTAATGGAAATGTTTTACACTATTAAAATAAGAAAAAACAACGACAATTATTTCAACTGATGAAAAACTGAGACAGTCTATAAATAATAAAGTGCGAAGCTAAAGTGGAAGGAGAAGTTTAATCACATGCAACAATGAACAGTTAAACATGGCACGATTTAAAGAGGGAGTGCTTTTCCAAGTATGTAATGGATTGCTTGGATTGCCTTTGACTGATTTTGACGGTTCCTTCTGAGCAAGTAGGCTGGGTTTTGGGGACGATGAGTTGAAACAACATGCACAAAGAGCTCAGACGTGACGCGCAGACTCCTATAGATATCGGGGGCTCCTGACTTCCTATTAGCAGGGTAAGTTAACATGGTTTGACATTTGAAGGCTATGCGAGAGGTAAATAAATGAGATGGAAAAGGCTCA